CAGTTCAACCATGAGCTACATATGTTCTCTTCTATTGGTAGTACCCTTCAGCTTAGGCCAGCATCATCAGTGGGAAGAGGGTTGTGCGAACTATAATCCAAAACACTTTGTAGGTACAAATTTCCCTAATTCAGAGGTTGATTCACAAATACTTTCAAATGGTCCCCCTTCCTCTTACAGTAAAGCTGTTAAAGAATCATGAAATGTATCATATCTAAGCTGGAACTGAAGTTATTGTTACCACTAATTGCATAGCAAATTAAGATAATCTTTTACCTAGCTGAAGTTAAATTAGTATCTGGTCAAAAAAGTAAGTGTATGGTTTTATTTCAACGTCTATTTTCTCCACATGAGCAGCTTTCAGCAACTGAGAATAGTCTGTACATGCTAGATGCCTGAGTATGCATTTTTAAAACAAGTACAGGTAAGTATACTATGGAGCAGGAATTAGGAAAGGCTGTTCTATGGCAGTGCATTAGTGGCCACTTATTTTACTTACTCAGTAAAGGACTATGTAAACCAGCCCTAAGATAGATGAGGAAAGACCAGCAGTGTCCATGGAGTGAGAGGAGTCCAGATCTGCGTGATGGGAATGAGGTTGTGATAGAAATCCCACCCTTTTCTGTGTGTGACATTGCATGCATGTACAAAAGGGGTGGCGCTTCAATCATGATGGTGCACCTGCCTTCTTGCAGATTTTGACACAGATGTTAAGGGAAGGACCAGGCCTTATAGCTGTCTGTGCCTGACTCTGTTGCCTCCTTGTCTTTATCATCTTTCACCCTAACATGAACAGGAAGGAAGAAGTCTGATGTTGTAAAGGGAGAGAAAAATAAAAGTGAATAGAATTGGGAAGGGATGGAAAAAAGGAATGGGTGTCCTCCCTCACTAGTCTCTAATCCACTCAGTTGACAGCAGGATATTTTATTGTTCATGATTCAGAACTGTTGGAGTAGGATGGACTGGAGAAGTTAGTAAGGAGACATTTTTGTAGCATTTAATGTGGACTATTGATCATTCTTCTTACACTGACAGTTTAGCCATACTTAAGTCCTATGGAAATGAGTGCAATTTAAGTAAGCTTCTCACATTCATTTTAGTGAGACCCAAGTGTTCTCTTGTAATCCTGTATGTGTCTACTTGGACGTAAATAATGGCAATTTCAGTTTATTCCCAAGCTCTGAATGGGTCTGAATCCTGACCAAATATATAAGTGGAAGTGAATCAGAATTGAGGAACTGTCTGCCAACAAATAAATCACTTTAACCTTGACCTCTAGTGACAACTGCAAGCAAAAATTCCAGTGACAACACAGGAACATGCAATAAGCACAGTGTGAAAATAAAGAACAATGCTTATGAAGAGGCATAACATTCATTTATTTACAAGAATTTTAGCCACCCAAAGAATTACAAATTTTGTTTTTTAAAAAATAGCATCAAAAAATCCGAAAGGCTAAACTAGGAACCATTGTAGTTTTGTGGTTTTTTACATTTATTTGTATGGTTTTGGTAGCTATTTTCTGCCTTTTCTTGGATCACTTCCTGGTGTTGGCTCTCCCTCTTTAGAAGAATGGTGCGCTGCAAGTCTGACAAAGTGTCATATTAAAAGGAAGTGACAGGACTTAAGATTAAAAATTTCAGGGAAACAGAGTGCATTAAAAAATAGCAATGCTCTTTTAGAAGGTTGATGAAAGTAGTCTCTGGTGTGCAGATAGAATTATATTTTTATATACAATGATGGCATAAGTGAAAATGAGCATACAGATGACAGGGTGACATTATTAACAAAGTGAGGCAGAAATTCATGTCATTAAAAAGATTTTGTAGAAGATTCGCTTTTTAAAATTGATGCCAAAATTTTACACTTGAAGAAACATAGATAACCTTTAAAGATTTGCTAAAACACTGACTGCCAACATTGTTTAAATACTTCAGGGCAGCAACCCTAATACTGGGGGAAGATGAACTCACCATTATTACTGAATAGCATAATCTTAAACAAAAGGGGGCTTCTGGTCTTTTTTTTTTTTTCTTTCCTGCAAATAGGTTTTCAAAACTGGCTACCAGTTTATTAGAAAATAAAAAATTAAAAGCATCTTTACTTTTCCTCTGAAGATCGTTGGAAAATAATCTCTCCCAAGTATTCAAGCCTCTCCCTTTGTTCAAGATCCTGGTACAAGCCTTTTGGAACCTTGGTGAGGCCATAGAGAAGCCCATACAAGCAGCCAGCAATTGATCCCGTAGCTGCGCTCTCACCTAAACAATCAAAAGCACAAATGAGCAGTCAGTTTCATTGAGGGACTTTAACTATTCCATGAAAGTTAGACTATTACCAAACAATGATCTGGGTTGTATTCCTGACATGTTTCCAGGCATCTTTGGGAATTGAATCCCTAAAATTTCACCAGCATCTCCACCCTCACCTTTCACCAGCATGAACTGTGAATAAATGCAACCCAGCATATCATAGAAGCAAGATGACAACACTGTACTCCACTATTGTGATGTTACGAGTGAATCGAGGCATTTCTTAACTAGCTTTCTATGATTTATAAAAATTGATGCTCTCATGCAACATTAGAATTCTTTCTTTGTGCACAATCCCCTCAACCAGCTGCATAAAAAACCAGAAGATAGTCTACATTACTACCACAAGCTACTCCTCATTAATATCAGTTGACAGCATAGTTTGCTCTCTAATTATTATTGTACCAAAATAGTAATGAGGAAAAGTTTTATATCACTTAAGTTATTAGACAGGAAATGGCTTATGTTGCATGCATACTTTTGAATTTAAATAGAAGAGAATATCTAAAGAACTGGCACTACTGTCCTCTTTATCTTGGGTTACTCTGCTCTCCCTAATGGAAAGTGAGTCCTGCAGTGAAAATGTGTGAATTAACTGATGAGTGGGCAATAGAACTTTCAACGGAACACTGGCCAGACTGCCAGGAGCTATGTGAATTGTAGACCAATGCATCTGGAGAACCTTAGGTTGGGGAAAACTTCTGTGAAAATATTGCTCTTAATTTCTACAAGGGAAGAACTATAGATGAAATACAAAAAGCACTAACTCACCTCCATGGAACATTGCCCGGTTACAAAGCTCTGTCCAATCACCACCACATCCCAAGAGAGCATCATATGCAATCATGGGAGCATCATGACCTCTCCTTCCACCACGACCTTCAGAACTCCATCTCCTGTAAGTCTAAATGGATAGCTAACAACTTTGGTTGGGTGAATTTGACAGCAGTGCAAACCAGAACTTGCATATATAAATGTCTCAGTTTGCATTTTTAAAAAAACATAGATTGATAAAGAAACATGAAACTGCAGTTTACGCTTTCCAGTCCCCTGATTTATTTGCTTTTAATGCTTTGAGCAACATCCACTCTCTGGTCACCATTCACATACCTTTATTATTTAGCTTTGCGAGAGGACCATTTTACCTATTCCCTGGGCTATTTTGAGTGTTTCAGTTAAGATGATGGTGAGATCATAAAGGGTCAAAGGAATGCAATTCTATCTAAAATGCTGGAGAATTAGAATTGAATGAGCCACCAGATGGGGAATTTACCATTTGTACTGCTAAGACAGCACATCTCCTGCAGGGGTTACCGATAGTGTGTTGTTAAAACAACCAGTACACAACATTGCAACTCTGATCGATAAGATTTCAGTACCTATTATTGTAATTCAACCTGACCCAGTAATGTTATAGCTCTGAGATCTATTACTTCTTGCTTTCTAGTGAGAAGGTCCTGCCAGACTGAATACCCACTGTTTTCCTGGAATATGAACATTTGCTTTCTTTTGACTATTAACATTTGCCTCTCACCCATTTGCATCAGTTGCCACCTCTGGAATTTGACCTTCTAAAAGCCTTAAAATAAAGCCACTAGATTTTGGATCTCACCCTAGCTGGATCTATCATACTTGCATATCCAACACCAACATTCAAATGTTTTTTGTCAGTTACTGTGATTGTTACTATTACTATTTCTCTTGCAAATGGCCAATTTAAGCTTAATTCTGTAGATGCAGACACAAAACAAACTTGTCATATGGTTTCATAGATACAGCTAGGATCCATTTTTAGTAAGAAAAGTATCAATTCATATCTATTCCTCCCCTCTACACACACACACACACACACACTTTAAACAGCTGTTTCTTGAAGAATTTACCTTTTCTCTTTCCTCAGCATCATAATTGTCAGGAAAATGAGGTTTATTCTGGTTTTCTTCATTGATCTCCCTCTCTTCCAAATAAAATTGCCATTTTGCTTCAAAGTAAAACCAGTGTTCCTGATACTCTGAATGGAAAATAAATGTATAATTATAGCACATTTAATCTTGAAAAATTATTTCAGTTAAGCATAGTCAAAGCATGTTATTATGTCATTAATAACAACTTATATACAGTAGAGAATAGGCTAGGAAGATTTTTACTACCATAAAGACAAAGAATTAGGGTCAGCTAACACAAAATATGGAATAAGCAGGATAGATCTGTCCGAATCTTTCGGTACCTTGAGTTTATGTGTGAGCTTAGTCCAGAATTTAGATTTGAGCCTGGGAGTCTTTGAAGATGTTTTATTATTGGCTTAATGCATGTATGGAAGTCAGGTTTTGTTAGCAATCTGACTGCCATATGATTTATATTAATTGTCATTTCTAGGCCATTTTCAAGGACATCCTTTAATGCAATTATAGTAACATAGCTAACTAGGTAACTAAAGCTTTTGATACACAAACTGAACCCTGAGATATCCTTTGTTAATATAATGAGTGTCATATTAAGCTGAGGACTTGAATATTATACAGGCATCGTATGAAAGATACAAATTTTATTTTAGGGTGTTTCATCTTTGACGTTTTTTTCTACAAGAATAATTTTTGAGGAGAAAAAAGGGCACGCTCACTACCACTCTTGAAGTGCGTCATGCTATTCTGTTTGAAATGTACTTCCTGACCATGGTATTTGCGCTAGAAAGAACACTTGCAAATACATTTTATGGCAGAGTTCTTTCTGTATAGGAAATTGTCTTTCATTTGGGGGGAGGAAAAAAGTAATTTGTAAAGTAGCTGCAGTGTAAGCGATTAAAATTGTACTTATTTTCTTTACTATATTTAGTTTAGTGCCACCATGTACAGCCACTTAAGGCTATTGAGTAGGAAAGATAGAAACTGTAAGGCTAACCAAATTTCTTAAAAAACAGGGTTCAGTCTTGTTTCAAGCAGGGATCCTTTTTTTCAACCCCCCCTTTCTAAAATAGCACTAGGTTCCACAATGTCGGGGTTACAAGCACATGCTTCAAGAGGCTTGCGTATATTGCTCAGAGATGGCATTGCCCTGGGAGAATGCCAGCACCCTCCTGTCAGAGCCGGACCTATAAGTGTTAATCCTGCACCTGCTCTAACTCTTAAGAAACCACAGCAACAACAGTTTGGATAAAAGTAGAAGAACTTCCATTAAAAAAATGGGGTGCTTGTTAAGAGCACATTGCTTGTCCATACAAATCATGTGTCGTTATTTTTTAAATTAGTATTTCACTACATTTCTCACCCAATAAAGGCAGGATAAAATCTAATAAATAAATAAAATCCTTACCTCATGATAATATCATTTAAATTTAAATTCAAACTGGAAATGACAATTGCCTCTCCCCGATTACATCATCCCGTCCCATTAGATCCGGCAGGGAAGATATGCTACAGGTTTCATTGACCAGGGACTTGCATTTGGTGGGTCCCAGGATGTGGGCTCCCTCCTTGTGGAACATTCTCCCCCCTGAGAAGTGAGGCTCGCCCTTTCCCTTCTGTCATTTTAGAAATCCCTCCAGTCCTGGGTATGTCATCAGGCCTGGGTGTCTTTGGGAACCAGAGACATTCTTAGATGGCTCCACTATTACTGATATCCTGTTCTC